GAGAAGTGAGTTTTCTCGGCTCCAATTCAAAAAATAAATAAATAAATTATATGATCAAGTGACAATATGGCATAGTCTGCTATACTAATCATCTAATAGCAGAAAAACAAGTGATGTTGGATTATTAGGAGTTAGAAGAAACAGCATATATAATATAAAGGAAAATAGCAAACACAGTAAAAATCACCTTTGCGTTAGGTCTTTGATAAAAAAATAATAAAAGAATTTGGAGGCATTTTAAAATCTACATTTAAATAAATAAATCAATTATTGAATAAAAATATTTTTTACTTTTATTTTTGATGAAGTTGTTTAATATAACATGAGTAGATATTTGTCTTTCTATAAACTAATTACATGTCAAACATTTGATCAAAAATGAATCTGACATGCACATGAAAGGTATGTTGAAGACAAGATTACATGAATATGTGTTCTTGTGTAACAACTTTGAGTTTTTAGATGTGATTAACCCAAGAAACTCTTTGTACTGCTCCACTCTCGGTGAGGATCTCTTTCATTATCTTGATCACACTTGTGAACCCTACCCACCCAAAACCAACCTCTATTCTCGAACCAATCTTATCCACCCTTTAGTAAGAACAAAAAGCATCACATTCTTGTGTCTTTGTACCACCAAAGTTCTTTTTCTTCTAAATCATTTGGAGAGGTTGATGAGTTAATTACTTCATCAATAATCAGTTAAAATCTGTGATCATATTCTCCAATCAAGGCCTTGATAGGAATTCTTCCTCATTTGCCCAATCATGTTATTTGGTAGATATTTCCAAAATCTAGAAATCTGTCATGTTTAGATTCTTCTAATGATGAGATTCCACAAGAGATTTAATTGAATCCATGAGATTTCAATTAGAAAATGTAATCTTGCTATCTCACCCACTGGTTCATATGCCCCAGTTCTATAACATAAATATATTATAACTTTGTCCCCCACAAATTCCTTATCATTAGTTTAATTATTGCATTACTTGAGAGCATCTTTATACCATTAAGAGCTCAATTATTTGATGCAATAAGATCGAGATAAAGCTCAAGTTTTTGTGACATGTTTGCTTATTAATGGATAAAATTTCAAATCGAATAAAGATGAAAACATAGACCAACTTATAAGGATTTTGCTAATTCTTTTAATAATGTTGACCTTTGATGGAACCACAACTCTTAATATGGTATCAGTACTCATTAAGCTCCAACAAGCAATTGGATTCGACTAAGACTTAAAAAATGAACACACGAATTTCAAGATTAGTTTGCTCAATCGAGCCACCATCTTGAGGAACATGTTAAGAGATAAGATCTTACATCGAATAAAGACAAAAACATAAATCAGCTTAAAAGTATTTTGACTACTTCTCTTAATAAACTTGACATTTTAAGATGGAACCCAAGCCTTAATATTGCTATCTTGAATTCAACAACAATGAATAGGATAAATAAAGAAAAGTAAACTCAAATCAATTCGTTATATTGTGTTACACAACTCTTGTTACCATATATTATTGGCTTAGACTTTTGGTAGAAAAACAAATCCAATCATGACTTAAATATATAATTTTGATAACTAAATTTGCTCAACATGTACAAGTTGTTTAGATTGCCTTGAGATAACATTTATTTCTTGAAATCTAGGAATATAGTAACGCCAAGTGCAATGTTTGAACTCATTTACTTGTATAATTTCTTGTTCATTCTAATGGGGTATCTGGTTCTCTTTTTCATGCATTGTTCTTGTATGACATTATGCGTGTCCATCAGTGCATGTGTGTCTGTTTGCAGTTATTATATTTTTAGGTTTCAATTTTGCTAATGGTTTGAATAACCTAACAAGGAACTTCTACAAACAGTTGTGGTAGGAAATTTATTAATAGAATCTCACATCACATAAATTATACACACTTGAGCTATTCTGCTTAATAAGATTGCTATCTTAAGATGGAACATCGACTTTTAATATAGTATAGCTGAGGCTGAAGATTCAGTTATTCCTCTAAACGAGATGAACCTTTTAAGATAGACTTCAAGTTTTAAGATAATATTAGAACTCATTATGTTCAGATAAGCAATTCGATCCGTTTAAAGCTCAAACAAGCATTTAGATTTCAAGATTGAAGTTCTCAAACAAGTTACCATCTTGAATAAACATGTTAACGGTAAAATCTCATATCAACTGGGTATAAAAATACTAATAGACATATAAGGGGTTGAGCTTTATTCTTAATAAGGCTAACCTTTAAGAAGGAGCCTTTAGTCTTAAAAAAAAAATATTGTTAACCCTAAGGGTCTTTCAATTCTAGATCAACCAATGAATTATTTACTTTAGTGGATCTACCCTAAGGTATGTATATGACTTTTCAATGAAATTAATTGAACTTTGGCATTGTCTAGTGAAAGTATGTTTTATGTTTTAAATGGTTGGGTTGATTGCAAAATTGTACCCTAACATCTTGACCATCCTCGAAATTCACGAAGAACGCCTCTTTAACGATCTAACTCAAATTAGAGCTATGGCGTTGGTAAGATCTCCTACATAAGATTGTTGATAATTACTCCTAACAAATAAATAGTACAGAGTTTTCCTAGGAACGAGCATAGAAGATTGCTGGCCCAGAACTTTTTTCCACGAATGGATCGACGTTCATGAGTATAGATGTTTATCACTTAATTTCAAATGCTAAGTACTAATTTTTCTTTCTTGAACTCTTCTTACAGGATTGAGATTGGCAAGTCGTTAGGGTTGGAGGTGAAGAGGGGCAGAGGAATTCTTGCTTCAAGACTTTATATTTTGCTTCAAGTTTAGACATGAACGTAGTCATAATTAAGTTAATGTTTAGTGCTTATAATATAAATATTATATTAATAAAGATGAAAAAGACACGGTGAAAGAGGCTGCCTAGAGAAGCTTTTACATCTTAGAATATTGTAAATTGCGGTAAACAGTTGCCGTATTTCAAGTCATTACTCA